GCTCAGATGAATTAGTATTTGGAATATAAGGTTTCATTGTGCTATTTCCATTAATGCACATAGTGCTTTTTGAACATATCTGCCCCCTCTACCATGCTCTCTCTCGTACCCCCCCCCCCCCCCCGTGTTCTTTTCAATATCAAATTATGGGAAAGTTCCAGGCCCACTTTCCTGCATGGGAGGGAATTGCAGGCTGGAGTGAAGAATACTTTTCTGGTTTGCCAGCTAGTCTGCTCTGAATTCTTGGTCCTTGAGAGAGCATTTGAATTTAGAAGCTGTGGAATGACTGTGTTTAAGGCAACTTCATTATGGAATCATTCAACGAGCTGGTAGCTGAGGTGCTGTCTCCTGTAATGCATTTAAAAAGATGTATGGCATGATTGGGAACTTCTTTATAAGAGAATTTCAAGTTGACTAGATGAATCATGTTGCAGGATCTGTTATATTTTCAGGAGTGGGACAAGTGGTACTCCAAACTTAGCAATAACTTAGAGCAGTGGATTTCCTGAGCCAGCAGCAGCCGCATCCCCAGGAAACGTGCTAGAAATATACATTCTCAGGCTCTGCTCCTGTGAATCAGAAACTTTGGGTGAGGCCCAGAGTGCAGTGCTTTAGTAAGCTTTCCAGGTGACTCTGAACCAGTCTAAAAGAGGTTGAAATGATGGGCCAGGTGTAGTGGCACACACTTTTAATTTGAGCTCTTGGGAGACTGTGGCAGGAGGATATTGAATTTGAGACTAGCCTGAGTTTCATAGTGAGATCCTCTCTCAGGAAATTAAAAACAAAAGAAAAGAGAGTGAGAGAGAGACAGAGAGACAGAGGAGAGAGAGAAAGAGAGAGAGAGAGAGAGGAGCGAGCGAAGACTGACAGAGACACAGAATAAAATAGAACATAGTAATAAAATAATAAAACAGTGGATTTGGATTTAGGTCATTTTTATTTCTGATGAATTTTAATACTGTTAACCATTTCAGCTGAGAATTATTTAATGAATTCAGGCCTCCTAATAGAGATTTCTCAATTGATGGGGGGTTCTGAAGGCACCCTAGAACATTTCACAGAGGGCCTTATCTGTCTCCTTGCTTATATTCTCCCATGCTTATTGTATTTCAGCTCTGCCCATGCTCTCTGCTTTTGTGAACTACTCTCTGAGGCTCCAGCGGACCCCTCCGGGCACCATTCCCATTGCTTGGAAAATTCTGAGATGTAGCAAATGGCAAATATTAGCTTCTGCTTCTTGTGTGGCTGTTATTAGAGGCGGCTGGTTTGTGTCCACTTAGATGAAGAACTCAAATAGTGTAATTCTTTTTTTTTTTTTCTTTGGGTCCGGTTGTGGGGCCTGAACTCTGGGCCTGGGCGCTGTCCCTCAGCTCTTCAGCTCAAGGCTAGTGCTCTACCACTCGAGCCATAGCCCCACTTCCGGTTTTTTTCTTTTTGCTTGTGTTGCTGAGGAATCGAACCCAGGGCCTCAGGCATGCAAGGCAAGCGCTCTACCACTGAGCCACCTTCCCAGCCCCAAATAGCGTAATTCTTTAGAAAGGCGAAGTCCAAGTTCAACAAAATAAACACCAGGAAGTGGATATTGGAAAGGGATGGGATCTGGGGAAAGGAGTAGACAAATGAAGGGGAAGAGAGGAGGAGGAGAATGCACTCAGGAATTGAATGCATATTTTACAAGATTAAGAAGAGTGAGGGTGTGTTGGGAGGAGTGGATGAGGTGAGAATGTAGAAAGGGGTGACAGAGTAAGATGCATTGTATTCACAAACTGCTTCGTTAAATGGCAACCCCTTTATACAGCTTCTTAGAGATAATTTTTGTTGTTGTTGTCATGGGGCTTGAACTCTGGGCCTGGGCACTGTCCCTGAGCTCTTCAGCTCAAGGCTAGTGCTCTACCGCTTGAGCCACAGTGCCACATCCAGTTTTCTGGTGGCTAATTGGAGATAAGAGTCTCACAGACTTAAATGCCTGGGCTGGCTTTGAACGGTGATCCTCAGATCTCAGCCTCCTGAGTAGTTAGAATTACAGGTGTGAGCCACCAGTGCTCGGCCTTAGAGATAATTAAAAAAAAAAAAAAAGCATTTATAGATCCATAACGGAAAGGAAATCTTTCTTGGAGTTCTGTCTCTAACTTAACACTCCTAACCAAGTTAGCCTCTGGATCCTATATGATTTAGAACAAGGCAGGGATGGAGGCGCCCAACTCAAGAAAACATGCAACAAATGAAGCAGGAAGGCCTCAAACCCGTCCCCAAACACACACACCCAAGAAATAAGCATTGGTAGGAAAGAATGATTTTGTGAGTTATCACTTTTGATGAGTAGATTTGTAAATTAAATGCATTTCCTCAGCATTGAATCATAGCAATAGCTCAACAGGAAACCTAAATTCCAAGCCGAAAAGTGCATTACATAGATAATCTAGACTTCAAGATGACCCATCTGTTCCATTGGCAGAAAAGGCAGAGAGTGAGAGAGAGGTGTGGTTATCACCTGGGAGTGTAGGGAAGGCAGTTTAAGGTATTTGGGCTTTAGAGACATGGGGGATGATTTAAGTTTCATTTGCCCTGGGATTTGAATTTAGGGCTTTGCATTCTTGCTTAGCTTTCCCCCTCAAGTTTATCTCTCTCTAGCATTTGAGCCATGCTTCCACCTCCGGCTTTATGTTGGTTAATGGAGATAAGCATCTGTCAGTCTTCTGCCCTGGCTGGCTTTTAATCATAATCCTCTGCTGAGGAGCTAGGTTTCTAAGTATGAGCCACCAGTATCTGCCTTTCCTTTCCTTTCCTTTCTTTCAGTATTACTTATTGATGGAGAACAGTTAAATGACAAAACCAACCAATCAGCAAGTAATGGATTAGAGAAAGAAAGCATCCAGGCACTCAGGAGCCATTGAGAAAGTTAAGAGCCAAGTTTCAACCCCACTGGTATTAACTGAAGTCCTCACAATGACTTCAGTGTAATAATCTGACTGAACTGAATTAAATAAAATGTTCCTTCCAGGCTGGGAAGGTAGCTCAGTGGTAGAGTGCTTGCCTTGCATGCGTGAGGCCCTGGGTTCGATTCCTCAGCACCACATAAGCAGAAAAAGCTGGATGTGGCACTGTGGCTCAAGTGGTAGAGCGCTAGCCTTGAGCTGAAGAGCTGAGGGACAGCGCCCAGGCCCAGAGTTCAGGCCCCACAATTGGCAGTTTCTTCCCCCTCCCTTTTCTTCAAAGGAGTGTTGTCATACATTTATCAGGAAATCAGGGCACTGATGATACAGGATTTCCCCCTCCCCTTTTTTTTTTTTGGTGCTTGAACTCAGGACCTTGCTAGGCAGGCACTTTTACCACTGAGCCACATCTTCTTCCTGTGAGAGACTTATCTTGGAGTCAAACACTAAGTTTAAAAGTTTAATTAAAGAAAGACACTACAAGGGGCCAGTGGCTTATGCTTTTCAATCTAGATATCTAGGAGACTAAGGTCTGAGGATTGAGATTCGAAGCCAGCCCAGACAGAAAAGTCTGTGAAACTTTAATCTACAGTTAACCATGAAAAAGCTGAAAACAGAGCTGTAGCTCAAGTGGTAGAACACTAGCTTTGAGCAAAAGTAGCTCAAGGATAGTGCCCAGGCCCCATTTTCAAGCCCCAGAAGTGCCGTGCGCGTGCACACACACACACACACACACACACACACACACACACACACACACACACATGACACTACAATTTCAGAGAATGTTACCTGTAATTATCAAAGATCAATTATATTACATGTTTAAGCCAAAATGATATAATTTCATTTCATTCTTTTTTTTTTGGTTGGTTGTGGGGCCTGAATTCTGGGCCTGGGCACTGTCCCTCAGCTCTTCAGCTCAAGACTAGCGCTCTACCATGTGAGCCACAGTGCCACTTCTGCCTTTTTCTGCTTATGTGGTGCTAAGGAACCGAACCCAGGGCCTCATGTGTGCAAGGCAAGCACTCTGCCACTGAGCCACCTTCCTAGCTCTTTGGAGAGATTTCTGAGTTTCTTTGGTAGAAAATGAATGGTAAAGGATTTTCTGTTGATTGGGTTCAATGGATTAAGTATTAAAAGCCACTTTTATGGTCAATATGAATTAAGATGTACTGTGTGGCTGTATTTAGAAAATCATTTGTCAATATACTGCTGACGGTTTTGAAATATCAGGGAATTGAGACGATGTAATTGAGTCGCATCTGTTCTTGCTGCTGTAGATTTGAATTTTGGTTCATAATTCAGTTTAGCAGGTCCCTTCTCTTACCCCTCTTCATGTCTAGCATGTATGCAGCCTACCTCGGTGCTTATTTTGGATTTAGTTAAATACTCGAGCATGCAACATCTTGCCTGGCATACCGCAAGTGCTTAATGACTGAATCTATGAATTTAATGAATGGCTGTTGAATTAAGATGCTTACTGATATCCTTTTATGGCTCATTTTTTCTCCTCCATTAACCACTTGTTTTCAGTTAATTAAGAGGAGATTATCAGAGCACATCCTAGGAAGGAAATACATTAATATTAGTCTCTACAATTGAAACATTTCAGAGAAGACGGAAGACTGACACGTGTTAGAACAGACTATGAAATATGAAAAGCATAGATGACTGTTCAGAGTGGAAATGGCATGTGGGGAGTAAAAAATATGATCTAGAATAAATCAAATGATAAATCATATACATATAAGGTGTAAATAAATCCTCAGATTTTTTTTTTCTTGTTAAGAGGTCAGCCATTTCATTTTCCACCACATTAGAATCCTTTCTTGGAGAGAAACATCTTGATTATTGGTCAATGATATTGCATATTATGACAGACTAAAAAAAGTGAATTAGATCACCCCCTCAGTGCCTGTGTCTAAATGCCACAGATAGTAAAGGTCAAGGATGTTACATTTTGTGGATCTTAAGCCATCTTGAACATTGAGAGGAGCTGGCTATCATCTGTATATTTTAACATTGTCTTTATAGTTACCTTCTTTTTTCTTCTTCTCCATGTAGTCCTACAGTTTATCAAGAAAGAAAATTGTGCACTACACCTGCTTTGACCAACGGAAAAGAGCAAATGCAGCGTTTCTGATAGGTGCTTATGCCGTAAGTGTGTTCTTCGTGATTCCTTTCTCTAGCCAACCGTGGCAGCCCAACACTGACAACATGATTCAGGCCACTTGTCTAGTGGGTTGGGGAAGTGGGAAGATAATTAGTTGCTTGGGGAGTTGATCTGGAATGGAAAGTCCAGCCTGGCAGTGATAGGGTGTTTAGTGAGAGAATCTTTTTTTTTTTGGGTCCAGTTGTGGGGCCTGAACTCTGGGCCTGGGCGCTGTCCCTCAGCTCTTCAGCTCAAGGCTAGCACTCTACCACTTGAGTCATAGCGCCACTTCCGGCTTTTTCTGCTTATGTGGTCCTGTGGAATCGAACCCAGGGCCTCATGCATGTGAGGCAAGCACTCTACCACTGAGCCACCTTCCCAGTCCCAAGAAAATGCTTTTGAATACAGGTTTGGTCCTTCATAAGCACAAATGTCAGCAGGAGTTCCATAGGAATATGCTGTTGTTTCTGGAATTTTCCTTCTTTGCTGAGACTGGGCAAAAAAAAAAAAAAAAGAAAGAAACAGAAGTCATCAGGGCTGGAATGTCCTTGAAAACTTAGACGAGCTCTTCAGGGATGTGTAATATTCAGAGAGGACTCTACTGGCTACAGGTAGGGAAAGAGGTGACATTTCCCCTCATCCTGGGGAGGATCACCAGGAGTATACTGCTTGGTGACCTTTCAGGGTTCAGGTGGAAAGTGTGGGTGTGAGGGCACTGATGGGCAGCCATCATGCTCTGCCAACTCAAGCCCAAAGCCCCGTTCAGTTGAGAAGACTATGTATAAGTCAATGCCCAGTGCAGCCTGGGAAGATGGACAGGCCGACAGCGAGTGCAGGCTGAGGCCCTGCTTGTAGACCCAGGGATGCTCAGTTCTGCCTCCCATTCCTGCCCCAACGTGGCCACTCCCATTCCCATCCCACCTCTTTCTCTGCAGATACCGTGCTATAATATGGCTAAGAAACAAACAAACAAACAAACAAAAACCCAAAAACAAAAGCTTGACCAGGTGCTGGTGACTCAAGCCTGTAATTCTAGCCACTCAAGAGGCTGGATCCAGGGAATGCAGTTCATAGTCAGCCAGGGCAAGAAAGTCCATGAGACTATTATCTCTAGTTAACCACCAAAAAGCCAGAAGTAGAGCTGTGGCTCAAAGTGGCAGAGCACTAGCCTTGAAGCACAACAGCTCAGGAACAGTGTCCAGGCTCTGAGTTCAGTCCTAGGACTGGCTAAAAACAAAACCCCAAACTCAAAACGTGAAGTTTTCATCCTGACGGGACTCTGGATGAAAGTGTCAGGTCACTTTATCCCTCTCAACTTCATTTCCTTCCCTTGTCTCTGCCATGAGAGCACTGGATGGAAGGCCCCTTAGGTTCCCTTCTAGTTCGTAGGATCCTGGAATCATTTGCAGTACCAGCCGGGCTGCTGCCTTTATTTGAAGAGGGTTCAGTAAAGTGCTGGGAGCTGGGTTAGCACCTTATCTTTCACTTTCCTTTGATAATTGCTACTCATTAGGAATTGGTGGTTGACACTGTGATTAAAATGTGGAGCCGCCTGTATTAATCTGTGGACTCAAGGCACGTAAACAAATGTGTTTTGTGATGCATTGTGGTCGTGGGTCCTATGTCATAAAGCATTACCATAGAGAAGAGGTTTACTCCGTGGAGTGCCAGGGGCTTTGATCTGCAATCCTAGCCATTCAGGAGACTGAGATCTGAGGATCAGGATCCAGAGCTAGCCAAGGCAGGAAAGCCAATGAGAATCTTATCTCTAATTGATTATCAAAAAGCTGGAAGTAGAGCTGTGGCTCAAGTGGTAGAAGTGCTAGCCTTGAGCAGAAAAAGCCAAGTGAGAGTGTAAGGTCCTGAGTTCAAGCCCCAATTACCTCCCCCTCGCCCAAAAAAAAAAGAAAGAAAAAAGAAGACACTCTCCCATCCTACCCCAGTTCTTTCTGATGTGTTTTGTGTGGTCTTTGATTTCAGCAGGGGCCTCTTGCAATTTGAAATTCAGCCTAATGCCCCGGCTGCATTGAGCTTAGGATATGATGATAAGGCATACTTCCTAATGCAGAAACTTCCACTGCTTTAAAGCAACCCAAGGGAGAAAAACCATCTTGGCTAGGGAAGAAGTGCTGAGTTCAGCACCAGTTTGTCTTAGACCTAGTTGCAGTCCTGGGTATAACATGATTATTCTTGTACTGACCATTTCCCAGTTGATTTTTCTCTTCTAATTTTGGAAATGCACTCGTCAGAAAGGGTTTTGGACATAAACTCCCTATAAGACTAATATTAAGAATTGTAGTTCTGCCCTAAAGAGGGTTTTATGTTTATTTTGGGGGGCTTTCCTTTATGTCATCTGTATACATTTTTTTTCATCTGTATACATTTAATCATTAACTTATGAAGACTAGTAAGAAGATGGTCTTATACATTGCAATTACATCTCAGTTAATTTCCACAATTTAAATATTCCTACTTGGATAAGTCTCAGTCTTTTGAGAGAAGAGAATCTCTTCTGGGTACAAAAGGACCTCCAACTTGGCATCTACCATATAACCTGTAGGACAATTCAATCTGTTGTGTGTGCGTATGCTAGTACTGAGGCTTGAACTCAAGCCTTCATGTTCTTGCTTAGCTGTTTTGCTCCAGGCTGATGCACTTTTGCTTGAGTCTCACCTCCACTTCTGGCCTTTTACTATTAATAGGAGATAAGAGTCTCATGGACTTTTTAAAAGCTAGGACTGGCTATGAACTGGAATTCTCAAAACTCAATCCTTCTAGGCAGGATTACAGACCTAAGCTACCTGTATATAGCTCTGATTGTCTTTTTACTTTTTTATTTTTGGTGCTGGTCCTGGGGCTTGAACTCAGAGCCTGTGTGCTTTTGTGCTCAAGGCTAGTTCTGTACCACTTGAGCCACAGCTTCACTTCCAGCATTTTTGGTAGTTAATTGGAGATGAGTTTCACCAACTTTACTGCCTGGGCTGGCTTTGAACTGTTATCTTCAGATATCAGCCTTCTTGAGTAGCTACTTTTAACCTTTTTGCTTCCTTTTATTTGTCATACAATTGTCAGAGGAGTCTTTGCAAAGCAAAATTGGATCTCATTATTACCCTGTGTCAAATCTGATTGCTCAGTATTCTTGGCACAGAAATCCCTGCCTTCTCAGAGCCATTACAATTTCTCTGATGAGATGTGGTACCTTGACATCCTCTTCCTTGAGAACCTCCCATTCTTCTGCTTTTCTGTGAAAAATCTTAACCTTTGATCCCACCAGAAGGCCTTGATAATATCTGCTCCATCTGGAACATTTTTACTTCAGACTATTTTGTGTGTCTGGTTCTTTCTGAAATTACTATCTCAGCCTTTTTTTTTTTAAACAAACTTCTTTTATTTCAAAAGGTTAGTCCCTACCCCTATTTGGCTTCTAGGTCTTTATTATTTTCTTTGCAACACTGTATTGTGTGGAATTACCTTATTTGTTTTGTGCATGTACTCAGACTGGAGCCTAGGGCCCTTATCTGTTTTGCTCACTGCTATGTCTAGAATATGATAAAATATTTAACAAGGGGCTATGGGCCTGGCATGCAGCAGTTGAACTGGAAGCTGGCCACAAAACAGAGGTGGATTTGGGACATTTCCTGCTGTGCTGGATTGTGGGCAGGTCTAGGGTAGGTGAGGGCCTCAAGGGAGGCGCTAGGGTGTGTAGTGTGGGTAGGGCAGGTGCTTGGAGAAGCAGCTGTTTACAGCTGGTGTACAATTGGTTCAGGACATGAGTTCTGAGTGTTGGATTTAGAACTGTGCTGAGCACATAGCACATTTATGTAAAAATCTACTGAGTAACTTGAGTGGGGTTTTAAAATATGGAAGAAGGAGAAAGGCAGTATATGAGCAATTCCCCTTGATATCACGTGCCTTCCTTATGATTATAATATTTGAGGATATTTGAGCTCATAAATGAATAACAGAATGTAGGATCAAAGCAAAGATCATAGAGCAAAATAATACCTTTAGTATAAAACGGGCCACGGCTGTTGGGCTGCTGGCCGCTCACGCCTCTAATTTTAGTTACTCAGTGGGCTGAGATCTGAGGATCACAGCTGGAAGCCAGACCAGGCAGAAAAGTCCAAGAGGCTTTTATCTCCAGTTAACCATCAAAAAGCCAGAAGTGGAACTGTGGCTTAAGTGGTAGAGTGCTACCTGAGCAAAAAAGCTCAGGGATAGTACCCAAACCCTAGTTCAAGCCCTCAAGGACTCTCTCTCTCTCTCTCTCTCTCTCTCTCTCACACACACACACACACACACACACACACACTTGGGCATTGCTAAGTGCTGAGAGGCTGGCTCAAGTGGTAGCAAGCATAAAGTCCTGAGCTCAAACTCTAGTACTGAAAAAAACAAAAGGTTGTTATTTTGCTTTTTTCATTTTTTTATTGTTATGAAATACAAGCAATTTAATTTTTTTTTCTTGCTGAGGTTTGAAATAAGAGCCTCATACTTCCTTGACTGGCTTGCTCACAAGGCTTGTGCTCCACCACTTGAGCCATGCCACCAGTTTAGCTTTTTGTTGGAGATGGAATTTTGCTAACTTTTCTGCCTAGGTTGACTTCAACCTTGGTGATCCTCCGAGAAGTCTTAGCCTCCTGAGGAACTAGAATTATAGGTATGAACCACTGGTTCCCAGCAGTTGGAACCATTTTTTTAAGTGTTGAAGCAGTTCAGTTCCTATGACTTGAAGTCTTAAAGTGTGACACAGAGGCTTTTGGGTCTCCAGTTTCTTATGTCTAAGAGGGCTGAGCCTTTTTTTATCCTTTTCTCCCAGAGCTGTCTTGAAGGATCAAGAGGGAGATAAGATACAGCCTCTCAAGTTTTATTCAAAGGGGATCTACCAAAAAGTGAACCCCTCCCTGGGATTATCTGTACTGGAGTTCACACCAACACTTACTGGGTGTCCCTGGGGAATCCTTTCTGTGGTGCATCTCTTCCTAAACTCTGATATTATGCTCCT